GGTTCAGCCTACCGCTAACATGGTGCAGAGGTACCCACAAAACAAGAACAAAGGGAAGAACAAACCTGTTTTCAACAAGCCTACCAAGACTACTACCTTCAAGAAGAAGTTCAACAAGGCTAAGCTAGAGTGCTACGCCTGTGGGAAGCCCGGACACTTTTCCCAGGAATGCCTTGAACATGCAGACCGCAGAGGGAAAACGAGCTCCAAGACTGTCAACATGGTGACCGCTAGCAATACTGATGGGTATGGTAATTTACCTATTGTGCTTTCAGTATTTCAATCATCTTCGTGGTGGATTGATTCGGGTGCTAACATTCATGTGTGTGCTGACGTCTCCCTATTTACTTCTTATCAGGTCGCAAGGGATTCTTCTGTCCTAATGGGGAATGGGTCACATGCTTCTGTTCGTGGCATTGGCACGGTGGATCTGAAGTTTACTTCGGGAAAGATCGTGCAACTAAGGAACGTGTAGCATGTCCCTACTATGAACAAGAATCTAGTTAGCGGCTCCCTTCTATGTCGAGATGGATTTAAGGTAGTTTTAGATTCGAATAAAGTAATCGTGTCAAGATTTGGACAATTTATAGGAAAAGGCTATGAGTGCGGAGGCTTGTTCCGCTTTTCCCTTTCAGATTTTTGCAATAAGTCAATAAACCAAATTTGTGCTAGTGTTAATGATGATGCAAGTATTTGGCTCTCGTTTATGTCATGTTAATTTTGGTTTAATGTCTCGGCTATCCAGCATGAGTTTAATTCTGAACTTCATCGTTGCCAAAGGTTCTAAGTGCCATAGTTGTGTGCAATCGAAGCAACCTCGAAAGCCTCATAAGGCTGCCAAGGAGAGAAACTTGGCACCTCTAGAACTCATACATTCTGATTTTTGTGAGATGAATGGTGTGTTGACAGAAGGTGGAAAGAGATATTTCATGACTTTGATTGATGATGCGACTAGATTTTGCTATGTTTATTTGTTGCAAACTAAAGATGAAGCATTAGACTACTTTAAAATCTATAAAGCTGAAGTTGAAAATCAACTAGAGAGAAAGATCAAGCGTCTTAGGTCCGATCGTGGTGGAGAGTATTTTCCCAAAGTTTTTGATGAATTTTGTGAGGAACATGGTATTATTCATGAGGACGCCTCCCTATTCACCCCAATCAAATGGAGTGGCCGAGAGGAAAAACCGCACATTGACTGACTTGGTGAATGCCATGTTAGACACTGCTGGTAATCTAAGGCATGGTGGGGGGAGGCTCTATTGACTTCATGTCATGTCCTGACTAGAGTTCCCAACAATAAAAAGGAGAAAACCCCTTATGAGGAGTGGGTTCGGAGAAAACCATCACTTTCTTATTTGCGCACTTAGGGATGTTTGGCAAAGGTCAATATTCCTATTCCTAAGAAACGCAAACTTGGACCAAAGACAGTAGATTGTGTCTTTCTAGGGTATGCTCAACGGAGCATTGCTTATAGGTTTTTAGTGGTAAAATCTGAAGTACCTAATATGCATGTTGATACTATAGTGGAATCTCGTGATGCAACATTTTTTGAAAACATATTTCCTATGAAAGATATGCATAGCATTGCTAGATTTTCTTCTGAGATAATTCCTGAATCTAGTACAATTGATGGATATTTTGAACAACTACATGAGGAAGTCCTTGAGAAGGATAACGATGAAGTTCCTATAAGGAACAAGAGACAAAGGATTGCAAAATCCTTTGGTGATGATTTCATTGTATACCTTGTGGACGACACACCCAAGACGATTGCAGAAGCATATGCATCTTCGGATGTAGATGATTGGAAAGAAGTTGTTCATAATGAGATGGACTCAATTCTTTCTAATGGAACTTGGGAACTAATTGAAAGACCATATGGTTGTAAACCTGTGGGCTGTAAGTGGGTGTTCAAAAAGAAGCTAAAGCCTGATGGTACTATTGATAAGTACAAGGCGTGGCTAGTGGCCAAGGGCTACACTCAGAAAGAAGGCGAAGATTACTTTGACACCTATTCACCCGTTGCTAGAATGACCACCATTCGAGTGTTACTTTCATTGGCTGCCTCTTATGGTCTTATCATTCATCAAATGGATGTAAAGACAGTTTTTCTCAATGGAGAGTTGGAAGAGGAAATCTATATGGATCAGCCTGACGGGTTTGTGGTAAAGGGTGAAGAGAGAAAGGTGTGCAAGTTGTTAAAATCTTTGTATGGTCTGAAACAAACACCTAAGCAATGGCATGAGAAGTTTGAAAGAACTCTGACTTCTGCAGGATTTGTCATTAACGAGGCTGATAGGTGTGTTTACTATCGCCATGGTGGAGGCAATAGTGTCATATTATGTTTGTATGTGGACGACATACTCATCTTTGGTACAAACATTAATGCAATTAATGAGGTCAAGTCTTTTCTATCAAAAAGTTTTGACATGAAAGATCTGGGAGAAGCCGATGTAATTCTAAACATCAAACTTATTAAGGATGAGAGTGGGATTACGTTAAAGCAATCTCACTATGTTGAGAAGGTCTTGAACTGATTCGGTTTTATGGATAGCAAGCCTTCTCCAACACCTTATGATCCCAGTGTGACACTCATAAAGAATAAGAAAGAAACGAGAGATCAATTAAGATACTCTCAAATTGTCGGTTCACTCATGTACTTAGCTAGCGCTACAAGACCAGATATCTCTTTTGCTGTGAGCAAACTGAGTAGGTTCATGTCCAACCCGGGTGATGATCATCGGCATGCACTAGAAAGGGTCTTGCGCTATCTGAGAGGTACTATGAGTTACGGAATTACTTATTCAGGGCATCCTGCTGTGCTAGAAGGATATAGTGATTCAAATTGGATCTCCGGTGTTGATGTACTCTACGCAACAAGTGGGTATGTATTTATTCATGGAGGTGGCACAGTGTCATGGAGGTCTTGCAAGCAAACCATATTGATGAGGTCAACTATGGAAGCAGAACTAACTGCTTTGGACACAACTACTGTTGGGGCATAATGACTGCGTGAGCTCTTGATGGACTTGCCGGTGGTTGAAAAACATGTACCGGCTATTCTTATGAATTGTGACAACCAAACGGTTATCTCTAAAGTGAACAATTTTAAAGATAATGCAAAGTCATCAAGACACGTGAAGAGACGTTTGAAGTCTGTCAGGAAGTTGAGAAACTCCAGAGTAATAACTGTTACGTATATACAAACAGACAAAAACCTGGCAGATCCCTTTACAAAGGGACTATCACAAAATGTGATAGATATTGCATCGAGGGAGATGGGTATGAGACCCATAGATGTTACACCATAGTAATAACCCAACCTTTGTGATCGGAGATCCCGTGAATTAGGATCTGGGAAGAACAAGCTATTGGTTAACTGAGGAGAGTAATAACTAATGACCGTCTCCAAGTGAAGATGCAAAACTCTCAGAGCTGTAAGGCTCAGATCTGTAAGGCAGGTTGGTAACATTCCTTAACGTGGTTCTATTGGCTATAATTAGAAAAGATGTTGTCCTACAGAGCAGTCTTGAAAGAACACACCTATATGAGTTATGATTGTAAACATCGCAGTCTATGAGATTTGGGTGATCTCTAGTAAGCTCACGAAGAGACCAGGGAGTATGACGTACAAGCTCCAAACCGCAGAGTAGCCTACTGGCAGTCGGGTACTGGTGAAGACTTTGAGTGAAACCTGTTCACACAAAACAAGCAATTCAAGGCATAGTCCATTGTCAAGTTGTGAATGGATGTAGCTTAAAGTTCTAGGCAGAAATTCAACTTGACAGTCTCTCCTGAAACACTGGTATATTAAACAAGTGGTGAGATAAGGCAAATCTCTAAATGGGTATTTGAGATCTGATGGGGGATTGTTAGAATTAATGGGCAAGGCCCATAGCAATTTCTGAAATCTCAAAGCCCATGTGTAAAATGGCAAGTGGTGGTGCTAAGTTTAGTCCCATCCCGGAAGTTGAAGAAAAGTTGGACCTCTTTATGTAGTGGGTTCTCTCCATCACTCTAAATGGTGTGTGAGAAGAGAAAGGGAAGACCGCACGCGCGCTCGCTCGCTCGCCTCGCCTAGACGGGACGTGGCGAGGCGAGGCGAGGCGTACGTGCGACATGCGCGTGAATGGTCCGCCGAAATCCGATATGTCTCCTTGCAGGAGCGCAGCTTCCTTTTTGCCATTTTACTTTTTATGTCTTGCCAGACAAATTTTTGATTTTTTGTCCGGTAAGTATACGAATTAGAAACCGAGTCGGCTTGGGATTGTGATCGTGACACACAATACAACGAAAACACCTAGCATTTTGCCTCATCTCACAACATGCGCCGCCGTCGTAGTCTACTCCATCCCAAACGCCGGCGTGCATCTACGTGTGAGAGAGCAGGTCTCCCGAACCGTTCGTCTTTGCGATCCTTCATCGGGAGAGGACGAATTAGGTTTTTGGGAAGCGTTGTGTGCGACTGCTCAAATTCGTCATCACGGGTCGTCTTCCGTCCAAGTCGGGCGGTGCTACTCATCGTCGTATTCATCGCCGTTAGCAGCAGATCATCGTCAACATCGTCATCAACACCGTCGCACCCATAATAGCTAACGAACAGTAAGTCCAACATCATATGTTCATGTCTGTCTCTACAGCTATTGTTTCGTGTTTGCTGATGTTATGCATGTCTTGCTGTTCTTCTAGTTTGCTAGATTGTTGCATGCTAGTATCTCTTCTAGTCATGAATTACTTACTGGAATTGATCATGAACTTGCATAATTTTCCAACACATATATACATACAATACAATACACTTTTTTTTGGAATTATAGATACATACATACATACACTTGGAACGCAACGTCTGTTAATTTATTTCGCATGACATTCTGTTACGGAGGAACAGGACGCGACACGACACGCAGAAGACACTAACAGAAAGCATTTGCATCCGATCGGTTTAAACAGCTGGTTAGCAGCGGCCCCGTCGGCCGCGGTGATCAGCTCATGAGATGATGCGGGCATCCGCAGACTTGGTGAGCCCCCAGCTGTGCAAGACGGCGCCGGAGACGTCGTAAAAGGCGAGGTGCGCCTCGGTCGCGGTGAGTTTCATGGACAAGAAGCCCTGGCCGTCATACAAGAACTCCATCTTGTCAGACGTGGCCTTGAACTTGCCCGCCCACGCTTTGGACCCGCCGCCGCTCGTCACGAACTCCACCGGGCTGTCGATGCTGCTGATGCGCTGCAGGCAGTGGTCGTGACCGTTGAGGTACATGTCAACCCCATGGGCCTGCATGCACGCGACACAGAAAGTGTTGGCCATGGTCATCCACAATGATGCATGCATGGGCAACATGTCGAACGTACCTTGAGGAGTGGTAGGAGGTGCTCGCGGAGCTCGGTGGTGTTGCCGTGCTCGCAGCCGCTGCTGATGGGGTGGTGGCCGACGACGACCTTCCACGTCGCGTTGGACGCCGCCAGGGCGTCGTCCAGGTCCTGGAGGAGGGTGGCGATGTAGGTGTCGCGGGGAGCCACGTTCCTCCAGTCGAACTTGCTCTCGTTCCAGTACTTGAGGACGAAGGGCGACGTGTCCACCAGGAAGAAGTCAACGATGTCTGCCTCCACGATGAAGGACTTGTTGACGGAGGTCCACCGGCTGTCCACCTCGCGGATGGCGGGGCTCTGCTGCGCCAGCGCGTCGCCCGTGTAGTCGTGGTTGCCGAGGACTGCATGCATGCATGCCACACCCGTGACGCAGTTGCATATGGTGTGATCGAGAAGAGAAGGAATAGTCGCGGCAGTTACGGATGCATACCGATGTACCAAGGCTTCTGAAGGCTGGAGGCGGTGTAGATGTCGGTGAAGGACGCCATGAAGAAGGCCGTGTCGTTGTCGCCGGCGAGGCCGTCGTTGTAGAAGTTGTCGCCGGTGGAGATGACAAAGTCGGCGGCCAGCTTCTCGCCGACCACTCCCATCTGTCAACACGTATACACTTTGGCCAATGACTGGGAGTTTTCTTGACGATAAGATGTAGTAGTACAACTAATTAAATGACCTCTCTGCTTTCGGCTACTTATATGACAAAGGGCAGCAATCAGTTTGTACCAACTACTACTTATATGACAAAGGGCCGCTCTTATCTCTTGGCAATCAGCTACACGTGAAATGGCAGTGATGCTAAAGCTAGCATATTGTTAATTAAGCACCAATAGTTTGTAAGTAGGTGTTTATGTATTTAACTCGTACAAATTGGGTTAGCATTCTTTAAGCACTCACATATAAGTACGTTAAAAAAAACATAGAACTCAGTTTGCGAGTGTACCTGCTCGGCAACCAGTGTCTGGTTGTACTGTCCACCCCTTCCCCAGTCCCCGACGGCGAGCACGGTGAGTGACCCGTCCTCCTTGGGCGAGTGCTGCACCCGCTGCAGCTCGGCCGCCACCGGCGAGAGCAGCACCAGCGCGCTAACAAGGACGATCGCAATCACCGCCATTTTCGGCCGGTCGGCGATCGAGCTAGACGACTTGAGCCAGTTGCTGGATGGAGAAGAGAGCAAAGTGGAGGCGATGGCTAGACGAGCACCCAATCACGGGTATTTGTAGCGGCCGGCCGGGCCGGGGCAGTGGTCGAGCATTCGAGCTGAGGTTGCGTTTGGCGCCACCCCCAATGATTTACGTCGGTTGGCTGCAATTAATTAAAGATCAATTGCTGATAAGATGCGTGAGTGCTACGTACTCGCGGGGCATTCAACAGGGGAGGTTGGCGCGTTGCATTGCATTGCATTGCATGCACGGACGAGATGGACGGATGGTTAACCCACGGCCGGGACGTGCATGCATGCTTGCTTGCTTGCTTGCGGAGAACAGCCTGGGTATCCCTCAAGTTATATCCTCCGTAAGCTCTACAAGTACATACAGTGCTGTGGGATCGTGGTACTGGCTTCTTCAAGGCTACGAGATACTCCCTCCGTCCTTTAAAGAGTGTATTTCCAACTTTGTTGGAGGGTCAAACTATCTCAAAGTTTGACTGAGTTTGTGCAAAAATATATTAATGTTTGTGAAATCAAATAGGTATATGATGAAAGTATGTTTTATCATGAATCTAATGCTACTAATTTGATGGCATAAATGTTGATGTATTATTATATAAACACGGTCAAATGTAAAAAAGTTTGACTTTCCAAGAAAATTGGAAGTACACTCTTTAAAAAACGGAGGGAGTACTCCATTGCACGCTCAAGCAAAGCTTTGTCCTTCGACTCCCTCTCCTGGCCCTCCTTGTCTGAGATTCCGCGGCCAAAAGGTGTCTCGGAGCGATGGAGGGCGTGGCTCTCCTCTGCGAGCACAAATGTTCATGGTTTTGCCGTGCCAGAGGATTGTGCCAAGGACACCGTGTCTACTTGCTGCAATGATCTTAATCTAACAAAGTTGAAAGCCTGGGATCTCTACTTCGTCAAGGAATCCATAAACATTTTGTTGTTGGAGGTGACTTTAAAATTACTATGAAAATTTCTCAAAAAATATAAAAATAAACCAGGCACTCCTAGGCATTGCAGCTTTGTTTTTAATGTGATCATTGAATGAGTGGGTTGAGGAATGTACAAATGAATGGCAATGCAATTTGCTTAGGGGAACAATCTCCCTAACCTACTTTTGAAAAGTTGGATACTATCCTTTGTTGTACAGGTTGGGAGGAAAATTACCCTTTAAGTGTAGTCAATGATCTAGTTAGAGAGGATTATGGCCGTGCTCCTTTATTCTTAGATACGGGAGATGTCGTTAACTCTTATACTTTGTTTAGATTTGAAAACATTTTGTTCTTGCGAGATGGGATAAATAAAATTGCTATTGATGTGTGACTTGATCCTAATATCATGGGATCTAATATCGAGAGGTGGCAAAACAAGCTCAGGAAGCTTAGAGCCAAACTACAAGGTTTGAATAGAAAGATGAGCGCTTGGTAATACAGAGTTTCAAAAAAATTGTTCTTACCAAGTTAGATGTTATATTGATAAGTTCGATGAATTGCATGGCCTCATTGCTCACACGAGGCAGGAGCAAGAAAATATGGTATCACAATTGGATAGGCTCATGAAGCAGGAAGGATTAAAATGGAAACAGAGAGCTCAAATTGCAGAAATATTGCAAGGAGATAGTAATGCCAAATATTTTCATGCCATGGTTAATGGGAGGCGTATGAAAAATAGGATCTTATCTCTTGATCAGGATGAGGGACATATCAAAGGAGCAGATAAAGAACTTATTACTTATGTTAGATATATTTTTTATGATAACTTGTGTGGGCGCCCTGAGATGTCTAATGTTTCCTTAGATATAGACAATCAAGAGTTGTCCATCTAGAAGCACAAAGTTAGTTGCATATCTCATTATGGAAGAAAATAAGGTGGGTTTTTCTGGTATGGCCCATATAAGTCACCTGGACCTGATGGTTTTACTGCATGATTTTATCAGCATTTTTGGCAGCTGATTAAATTTGACCTGAAAGACCTCTTTGATGATTTTCATTAGGGGGATTTGGATATCTCTAGGCTAAACTATGGGGTTATCACTTTGGTTCCAAAAACCAAAAAGGCCTAGAAAATTCAACAGTTTAGACATGTATGTCTTCTGGATGTTTGTTCTAAAATATTTACAAAGGTCTTGATGAATAGGCTTAATGGGGTTGCTGGGGATGTAATTTCACCTATGCAAACTGCCTTTGTAAATGGAAGATATATTATGGAAGGGGTGATGATCCTTCATGAAGCTTCAAACAACATTCATGCAAAAAAATGGTCTTATCTTTAAGGTTGACTTTGAAAAAGCTTATGATAAGGTCAAATGGCCTTTGGTATTGTAAATGCTTAACATGGAAGGATTTCCAAGCAAATGGATCGGTTGGGTTATGTCTACCATTAGAGGAGGGAAATGTTAGCACTAAGGTTAATGATAACATTGGCCCTTTTTCCTACTTACAAATTACAAAGGTTTAAGGTAGGGGAACTCGTTATCCCCTTTGATCTTTGATCTGGCAGTTGACACTCTGCCCATAATCATGGATAGTACTAGACATAATGGGTTGGTTAAATGAAAGATGGAAGATGATATTGAGGCGAGGGGGGGGGTAACATGTTGCAATGTACATGTGACACAATATTGCTCCTCCAAGATGATTTTGATAGTTCTCACAACTGAAGATTCATTTTGTATTTGTTTGACAACATGTCAGGTTTAAAAAACAATTTTCACAAAAGTTAATTGTTTCTTTTTTGGGGGGAGGGGGTTGGTGATAAAGAAAACTCTTTTGCTGAGATATTCACATGCCACATTGGATCCTTGCCTATGAAATATTTAGGACTACTAATGGATGAAAAAATAATTAGGATAAACAGTGGGAAACCCCTAAAGATAAGACCAAGAACAAATGTAGTAGCTAGCAAGGTAGGTTGTTGGCGAATGCCGGAAGGATCACCTTGATACAGTTCTATTTACTAAGGACTCCCAATTTCATGATGTCCTTTTATGGAGTTTCTGTGGGAGTTAATAGAATTAAGGTTGGATTTTTTTTAGAGCTGGACTCTTGTGGCAAGAATAAGCAGAAATAAATATCACTTGGTCAAATGGTCTGCGGTTTGCAGAACAAAAGATTTGGGTGGTTTGCAAAATCAAAATTTGGCCTTGATGAATCAACTATGTTATGTAAATGGTGGTGGAAGATCTTTAACACCCAGGGCTTGTGGAAAATATAATGAAATCCAAATATATGAAAAGTATGTGCATTGCTAGGGTTAGGCCAAAGTAGGGAGATTCCCAATTTTGGAGTAGCTTGCTCAAGCATAAAGAACATTTTATTCTCTTTATGCAAGTTCATGGTGGGTAATGGAAAAAATGTAAGATTTTTGGAAGAGAATTGGATTAGGGGTATACCTTTGAAGACCAATTGTCCTAGATTGTATAATATTTGTTTTGATAAGAACCACTCTATAGCTGAGATTTTTAACAAGGGACTTGATGATATACGGTTTAGGAGAACCTTCTTGGGGATTCTTTAGAACTTTGGAATCATATAAAGAAGGTATGTATGAAGTTTAATTGAATGACCAAGAGGATTGATCAAGTGGACCTTAATAAAAAAAGTGGCATCTTACTACACGGAGCTAATTGTGGATAAGATCAAGTATCCACATATTTTCCAGTGGAAGGCTGAAATGCCTCCCAGGATACACAAAAAATTGTGTGGATTCTGCTTAAAAATAGTGTGTAAACTAGAGATAATTTGGCAAAAGGGGTTGGCATCATGACCAGGCTTTCCCTTTCTGTGGCAGAAATTAAATTTTTAATCACCTGTTTCTGCAATGTTCGGTTGCTAGATTGCTATAGAATAACATGAAATGTGCCTTTAATCTAATGGACATTCTTGATAATATACATGATTTTTTATGTATGGATTAAAATATTTGGTAAAAATTAAAACACGTCATGTTAGTTGGGGTGTCCGTGGTCTTTTTGACTATTTGGTGCTTAAGAAATAGGTGTGTCTTTGATAACAAAAGAATTGTCAATCCTACCGTTCCTGTCAAATGAGCAATAAAGAATTGTCGGGCATTTTCTAGGATGACTTGGACAAGATGTCAAGATCTACGACAGCAAATGCATAGTGGCTTGGCAAAATATTGCAGACCCGAATGCTATGGCGGTCTCAGAGTAATTGATCTGCATAAACGCAGTTTATGCGTTTGAGATGGAGGTTGCCTATTGTACGTAGATCCGTGTGATGTTCCACAATCTGGCACATTTCAAGGTTGAAGAGGGTCACAATGCCATTTTCTAGATGGTCATGATACCCTTTTATAGAGTGGTGGATGGTTGAACGGGACATGTGCGGTGGAGATTGCGCCCTCGACGCTTGCCAAACGCCTAAACTCTTTTTCTAAAGAAAGATGGTCAAAGGACATATTAGATCTGATAACTATCAAGTAAAATAACTAGGACAATTGAAAGACAATTAGACGCAGGATGACAAGTAAAATTACATGGAAAATCACACTAGCCTTTTCTTCCTCCAATCAATTACCGTCGCCGTAGAATAAAAATTGCACTGAACTAACGGTAGAAGAAAGGGACGCCTGCAAACGCCCTGGCCTTACAGGCTTTAAAAACTCCAACAGAATTTGTCGCTTCAAACTAGATCTAGAAGTTGTTGAAGAAACATTGGTTAGAGAATCACCCTATGCAGTGCAGGCCCGCAATCTAGCACCAGTCTAGAGAGTTGCAGAAACCAGACCATGCCACAGAATAACATGAAACAAGATGTCAAAGTTGTTGCGTCAATAACCACTAAATTGTTTTTCTTGATAAACACACCAACCACCATGATCCGAAAAGAGCCAACAAATATGGCGATACAAAATAGTCTTTTTGAGCATCAATTTCTACAAAAGTATTAGAAATGTTTTTCATCATAGAATTTCGAGTGTGTGTCAAAATAATCAGA